CAAAGCCAACAGATCAACCACGTGCAATGCATTGATTCAACGGCACCATGCAGAACCGTTTCTTGATCGTTTGGTCACTGGAGATGAAAAATGGGTCCTATACGATAATCCAAAACGCAAAAGGCAGTAGCTCTCCCCAAATGAACCAGCACGCAGTACTGCAAAGCCGGGATTACACCCCAAGAAGGCGCTCCTGTGCGTTTGGTGGAGCATCCGCGGAATCGTCCACTTTGAAGTGCTTATTCCTGGACAAACTGTTAATGCGGACCTTTATTGTCAACAATTGGATCGAGTGAACCAAGCTCTAGTTGAGAATTACCCGGCTATCGTCAACAGAAAAGGTGTCATTCTTCAACATGACAATGCAAGGCCGCACTGTGCACGACGGACGCTAGAAAAAATTAATGAATTGGGATGGGAGGTGCTGCCCCACCCTCCATATTCACCTGATATCGCCCCTTCAGATTTTCATTTGTTCCGATCCTTACAGCACTTTCTAAGTGACAAAAAATTTCAAACTTTGTACTGCTTAAAAAATGGCATCTCCAGATATTTTAATGACAAACCAATACATTTTTTTCGATCTGGTATAGAAAGTTTGCCCGCTCGATGGCAAAAGGTTGTGGAAAATGAGGGTGATTATATCATTGATTAAAAATAAATATTATAAAAAAATTATTTGTTTTAATTTGACATAAAAAAAATACGACATTACTTTCCGGTCAACCTAATATATATATATATATATATATATATATATATATATATATATATATATATATATATATATATATATATATATATATATAAACTTTCAAATGTTGTGAGTAATCCTATTGAACTGCCTCCAACTACTGCAACATTGTGCAATATGTGGTACTGAAATGTATCTTACCTAATATATGTATATATATATATATATATATACATATATATATATATATATATATATATACATATACATTTATATCTTATACTGCTGAGTTAGGTGAGCATGATGATGTCATACTCTCCTAATGTCAAATAGCCTCCTGCCGGGGGCTTCAGTACATACATCGACTGACAAATAGCCTGACTCGCCGTGGAGTGCTGCTACATCAACTGAGGGTTTGGTATGGGTCAGCAACATTTTCATTCTTTATTCTTCTTTTTCCCTTATCGTTTTCTAAAAATGCTCACTTAATTTAGGCTAGCAAAAAAAGTGAGCAATTGCGCATATAAATATGCTGTAGATATATATATATATATATATATATATATATATATATATATATATATATATATATATATATATATATAGATATGTATATATGTATACATATATATATATATATATATATATATATATATATATATATATATATATATATATATATATATATATATATATATATATGTATATATATATATATATATATATATATATATATATATATATATATATATATATATATATATATATACATATATACATATATATATATATGTATATTAGGGTGATTCAGATTGTAATAGAAAAAAAAAATGTCACAAAAAACATTCTCCTCAAGGTTGCCTGTGTTCCTTTATCACCTAGGATCATGTGTACCAAAAATTAGACTAAAAGAAGCAATTTTACGGGTTGCCATGTTTTATAAGATGAATTAACCATTGGTAAAATTTTGTGATTTTCTCAAATTTCGCAAATTTGTTTTTTCATTGTTTATTTATTTATAATTTCGAAATTGATAATATGGCAACCACTAGATCTTCTGCTGAGGTGTGGCTTGTTGGTAAACCTACACAAACTCTGTCGACTGCCAGACTTCCTTCAAGAGGGGATGTTCTTCGGAGGTTGCTCTTCCATCATATAGAAGAGAAACATAAAGTGAAAAAAAGTATTCGGGCAACAATTGAAGCAGTTCTTGTTATATGGGAGAGAGGAAAAATTCCAACTCAAAGAATTGACAATGCGGAAAGAAAGTTAAAAAAACTTTATGACGAATATCTGCTGCTGAAAAAACACCGAAGATCAAAATTGGACAGCTGTCAAATAAAAGAAGGAATTTTCCACGCTGACCTTGAAGAACTTTTTGATATTTCAACCAAGAATGCATCAGAAGTTATGAAAAACGATGAAGATAAAGCATTTTTACGTCAGCAGCAAGAAGATCCATTAAGTTGTAGTATGGCAGGAATTGATCGGAATTTAACAGCTAGGGAGGCACGGAAACGAGTCCGAGAAACTAAAATGGAATTGAGGCGTCAAAGAAGTCAAGCGGAACTGATGGAAAAAACAGAACTCATTTCTTCTTCGTCAGCAGTTGACATTGTGAGTGAAAGTAGCTCTAGTTCCTCGGATGATGATGTATATCAGACTCCTTCTGCTTCCAGCACACTGAGCACAAGTGGTTCAACGAAAAAGAAGATGAAAGTTCTAACAAATAATGTTGTATCATCTCTTGATCGTGTTAATATTTCTGATCGCCGTGCACTCTTCGTGGTTGGAATAGTGTCTCAGGCTCTTGGTCACTCGGTAAAAGATTTATCATTGTCGTACAGCACAATCCGCAGAAAAAGGCGATCTGTTCGTGAAGTGGTGACTACAGCTGACAAGGTTGATTTCTCTCCTGATCATCCACTTCTTCTGCATTGGGATGGAAAGCTCTTACCTGATATCACTGGTGGTCAAAAAAAAGTGGATAGAATTGCCATCCTTGTGACTGGTGGTGGGGTGGAAAAATTGCTGGGCGTTACAAAGATTGATCGAGGTACAGGTGACAACAGGCTGATGCTTGCATGAAGGCTCTTAAAGACTGGAAATTGAAAGAACTTGTTCGGGGACTGGTTTTTGACACTACTTCATCTAACACTGGGTTGAACATTGGTGCCTGCACAATAATGGAGCAGAATCTTGACCGTAATCTTATATGGATAGCATGCAGGCACCATATGTTTGAAGTCATGCTTTCCACCATTTTCACGACTGCATTTGGAACCAGTGGAGGACCTGAAGTTGGAATTTTTAACCGTTTCCAGAAACAATGGCCAGCAATCAACAAGGAAGTGTTCACTATAGGGAATAAAGAATTTTACAACTGCGATTTTTTTCTCAAACTCCGTGAAGAAATGGTAGTATATTATAGTGAAGCAATTAAAGGTCAACAACCCAGGGATGATTACTTAGAACTCTTGAATTTGTGCCTTATTTTTCTTGGAGGATCAACTACAACATCGGAGTTCAAAGTGAAGTTTCGGGCTCCAGGTGCAACACACAATGCACGTTGGATTGCAAAAGCTATATATTGTATAAAGATATATTTGTTTCAGGATCAATTTGTTATTACTGCAAAGGAAAAGAAAGGAATAACAGATATAAGTCTTTTTGTGGCATTTGTATACAGACAGTTTTGGAATGAAGCTCCGTTAGCTGAACGAGCACCATTCAATGATGCCAAGCTTCTTCAACGGATTTAAGAATATCCAAATCGTACAATTGCAATTAATGCAGCAAAAGCTTTTCATCGCCACCTCTGGTATTTTTCTGAACATCTAATAGGATTGGCTTTCTTCGATTCCCGTGTCAACAACAACACCAAGAGAGACATGGCAAACAACCTGAAACAACAGCCAAGGCAGAAATCTCTCAAAAGACTTGATGCTGCCACATTCGATTGTCACAGCCCATTGCCTTCCTTCGTCACACAACGCACCGCAGAACTTTTCTATCTAATTTTGAAAAATGGAAAAGAAAAAGCTGAATCATTTTTAATGAAAGAATCTTCAGAGTGGGAAATGGATTCAACATATCTTGAAATGAAGCACAAGGTTGGTCAAATGAAAGTCGTCAACGATTGCGCGAAACGAGGCATAGCACTTATAACATCCTTTAACTCAAGCGTTACGAAAGATGAAAACCAAAAGCAGTTTCTTCTTAGATTGGTTGATCTTCACCGGAAGGAATTTCCAGTTGCATCAAAGTCTACCCTGATGAAGATGACTGTTGAATGATGAAGATGATTGATTTATTATTGCCTAGTGCAATTACATAGTAGTACTATAGTATTGATTTTTTTAACATTGAACATCCACAATCCACCACATAATAATAAGAAATTGATAATAAATAATTCAGTAATATAATATAAAAAATGTAAAAATAAAAAATATTTTTTTTACTTTTTGTAACCTTATACCAAAATGTGACAAAACATGGCAACCCCTAAATATCATCCGATTTGATTCAAATTTTGGCCAATAACTACTATTGTCATATAGAAAAAGGGCAAGCTTGAGGACAACTAAAGTTTTGAACCTACAAATTTTGCATCACCCTAATGTATATATACACACACACACCTACTCACACACACACATATATATATTATATTCTACTTACATATATATATATATATATATATATTATATTCTACTTAAGTATGTTTTAAGTAGAATATAATATATATGTGTGTGTGAGTAGGTGTGTGCATATATATATATATACATACATATATATCTTATACTGCTGAGTTAGGTGAGCATGATGATGTAATACTCACCTAATATCAAATAGCCTGCTGCCGGGGGCTTTAGTACATACATCGACTGACAAATAGCCTGACTTGCCGTGGAGTGCTGCTACATCGACTGAGAGTTTGGTATGGGTCAGCAACATTTTCATTCATTATTCTTCGTTTTCCCTCATCGTTTTTTAAAAATGCTCACTTTATTTAAGCTAGCAAAAAAAGTGAGCAATTGCGCATATAAATATGCTATAGTAGATATGAATATATATATATATATATATATATATATATATATATATATATATATATATATATATATATATATATATATATATATATATATATATATATATATATATATATAAACACACCTACTCACACATACACATATATATATATATATATATATATATATATATATATATATATATATATATATATATATATATATATATATATATATATATATATATATATATTCTACTTAAAACATACTTAAATCTGTTATCTTTATTCAATGTGTCTATTACGGTTGCTCCTCCAAACGAATGACCAATTAGAAAAGGCTTTGATAAATCTATCCTTCCCTAAATAAAAAATATAACAGTATTGATTGAAATACTGATCATTAGATTGCCTAAATATTTTACACGCAAAAACAACAATATTGACCAAAATCTACAAATGCGTCATCAATGCCGTTGACTTTAATCTTTCGGAGATAATTTGGACATCCAATTCAGTTGTCTCCACAATCAAAAAACATTCTCAGTTCATTATTTGTCTACTTTGTTCTATACCTTGATCTTCATCAAATCATCACTGTCCTAACATTCAAACCTGCTCTTTACCCAATCAAAAACTCTCTCAATATAATTAGTCTGTCCAACAATAATTTTTTACATGCAATGCTGGCATTGTGATGAAGCAGGAGGGATCGCACAATACGAGACCAAAAAAATTATAAAACGAGACTAAAAATCGCGCTTGTCTGAAGAACTTGCAAGAGAGAAAATTATAAGTTGATTTTATAGAAAATATTTTAGTAAATTTTTTTTGCTGAAGTCAAAATATGTTTAAACAGTAGAGTTTGCATATTGTTAAATAAACAAGTTATATTTGTAATAAAGTGCATCACTCATAAGTTATGCATTACATACTTTAAATTTAATTTATGCGGTATAAGTTCAAATTAAAAATGATTTATTTCTTCTATTTGAAAGCTAAATCCAGCATGATTTTTTTTTTAATTCCACTTGAACTTTTCATATTATCCGCTTAATCGTACCCCTCGCTAACTCATATAGTTTTTTAGGGTCCATTTGACAAAAAACTTTGCCTGGCTAGAATTTTTACTTTGAATTGCATAAAAATCCATGTAATAAAATATTAAAACTTGCAACATTTCAATGAAAATCCCAAACATAATCAAAAAAAAATTAAATTACTTGCCTTTTATTTATAAATATCTAGCGCAACATTTATAAATATCTTATAAATATCTAGCATAAAAAGTAAAACTAAAATTTCACTTAAAGCTTCGATTTTGTAGGTTTGCTCAAATTCTATTAATTAAAGACTTTTATATTTAAAATTCAAAAACATAAAAACGTTGGAATATCAAACATTTTTTGTCAAATATAAGTTAATAAACTAAATATTTATACTGGTATCTTCAAATTAGTCAAGCCTATATTAAAGTCTATTTATTCAAAAAGTCAAAGCTAAACGAAACTTGAAGTTAAAAAAAAAAGTTTTAAAAAACATACATATAACAAATATATTTGTTATATAACTTAAAATTAAAAATTTAGGAAGCGTGTTCGCAATCAACATAAGATAAAATTTTACGCCACTAGTTTCACAATGCATTTCTCTAAATATACGTCAGTATATAAGTTATTAATATATTTTATTGTTTAAGTATATATATATACTTACACTAATATATATTATGTTAGTATAAGTCTATTATATGTTTATTAAGTTTATAACCAAGTATATAAAATATTATTCACTTGATAATAATTGAATGGCGCATTTAGTTTAAATTAGAAAGCAGTTTTCTATTTTGTATAAATAATGAATGAAAAGTTATGAAGTCATTACTGCCAACAGATAGAATGGAATCTTTACTATTTTCAAAAATTTTATTCCCAATGAAAATTGAAAATTTAAATTAAAAAATTAAAACTTGATTAGAATTTAAAAAAATCATTTTTATCAACAAGATTGTTTTCATGAACAATAACAAAAAATAGTTTTAATCAACAAGATTTTGTAAAAACATAAGATTCTTTTGGTTTATTGTTTTTAATTTTTTACGCATCTTTTGTAAATAAATAAAAAATTCTTAAACTTTTTATTTTTTATTTTTAACTATACTTAATTTAAAATTATCTTTAACTTAAATTAAAAACGTTTCTGTTTGTTACTGAAACATTTGATAAAGTGCTTGATAAATCACATCAAAATATGTTCAAAAAAATATATAAATATAAAGAAACATAAAAATCTGTCAAATAGTCTAAATTTTTTTTTTGCTGAAATCCTTTAAATTTGCCCTGGCCATTGACAAGAGCAATATAAAAAAGATTCTTTTTAAGCATAAACTATCTGTAATAAATTAGAAGTTTTTGATGCAATTGACCAGTTTCAGAGACAATATTCCTTTTCTTAATTGTTGAACCAACTGCTGGAGACAATATCCCTTTCCGCAATCGTAATTACTCCTTTACTAATTGTAACAATTAAAAACTATTCCTTTTTTCTAAAAGCCATTTGACAAAAGTAAAATTCCAAATTTCACTCATCTCAATTCTATATAAAGTAATAACTCTCCAAAAAAATCATGCTATATATCTAAAAACGAACATTTATTCTAATAGTTAACATGGAAAAAAGCATGCGTCACAAATCTGCTAAGAACAATGGAAATTTTGACTGCAAATATTACCAGAAAATTACCATATGAAACAATATTTCTCTATGTTGACAGAGCATTCAAAAGTGCCACATCAACAATTGTTCTACTAACTAAAAATAACTTAGGGTAACTAACTTGCAGTCATCTTCTCAAATAAATCAAAAATTTTTTGACTAACAGGCTTTCATAAGTGACATTGTCAACTTTAATTCCATTAAGACATCAACCAAATTCATTAGACCGAGTGTTAAATCATAGACTTAAATATGAAGAAATGGAATTTTTTGGTAAAATATTTTCATTTTTTAATATTTTACTCGCAAAGGAGTTTCCTCGATGTTGCTTGAGCAAAAAATATAATGTGTAACATTTTTACAAAACACAGTATATATAAAGAAAGAGTATAAAATTTGTAACAAAATAGATAATATCTATAAATAAGAAAAAAAAGAAAACTTGTAGGAGTACTTTTTTTAACATTCAAATTTTTAATGGATTTTCATTGAACACCTGCTGATCACAGAAAGAAACTTCAACAGGATAAACATAGCAACAATTTAAGTGGTTACAATAAACAACTCAGTTTTTTGTTTTATTTACTCCCAATTTTTACAATCATCCTTTTTTTTCTATGCTTTAAAGTTAAACCATACATTCATTCAAAATCATCTTTACTGTTCAATGGAAATTGGAGATCAACTTTTATTTCATTTTATTAACCTTCCTTACCACTTCATATCATTTATAACTAGACTGCACTTGCCCGAGCCCAAATCTTCAGTTGATGTGATTACAAAGTTCAGATTATTAACTTCAGATTAATGCTATTAATGATGTTTCATTTCAATTTATAAATTTTAGCATTATTTCCAGAAGGGTCAGTGCAATTAAATTCAAGCCATTTAAGCTTGATGTGATGAGCAATAGAGATACTTATGACAAAATATAGATGGATAAAGAGAAGAGAGTAAATGCCTAGGTCATGTGACTATTGGAGTCTTTGTATCAATAATGAAATCCGTGATAAATGTAATGAAAAAAAATAATTTAAACTTGGTTGCAAAATCCAAATTTAAATTAGTCTTGTAAAAACAATCTAGTGGATTTACAAGAGGTTAAATTCTATAAATAAAAAGTTCCCACAGGTATTTGTAAAGATAGACTACAAGTATTTGTAAAACATAGGTCAATTGTGTGGCAACAATATGTTTAATTATATTTCGGATTTTATTTTAATAATGTGTTGAGACTATATTCATTCATAAGTAATGTTTATTGAAAAGGTTACCTGAAAATCCTTAATGGAAAAATTGCCAGTTTCTAAACAGTTTTCAATTAAAGTTGGATCCTTGTTTAGAAGTTCAACAATATCTAAAGCTTTGCTAATTTCTTTACTTCTTTGCTCAACCTAAAAATAAAACTGCAAGAATAAATCAATCAAATAAAAAAATTTCCAAAATGATTTACAGCAAATAACTAAAAGAAATAAAAAAAGGATAAAACATTGTCAAAATTTAAATGTAAATTATATTTTTGGAAAGATTTTTTTAAAACTACAAGCAGTAACTGTTGAATACACAATACTCAGATACCCATGATCTTATAATTTATAAAAATGATGCTGAAAATCTTGGTAATATTTTGTACCAATTTTTTGCTGTTAAAGTTTATTGCATTTAAAATTTCTCTTTCTCTTCTAAAATTAATACTTCTCCAGGTCTTAGTGGAAAGCAAGAACTTTGCTGTTGTTGTGTTGCTGAGATAAAGTTTTAGCTTTCTATCTCATCAATACTCTCCTAATGTGATCTAAGTGAGCAATTCACGTGTTGCACAAGTACAATTTTTTCATAATTATAAGCCACTTTCTTTTTTATCTATTTTCAGATATTGATTAGAAAAACTAAAAATTTGTGCGAATATAAAAAACTAAGTTCAAGCTTCAGATTGATATTTTTTGCTAACACAATATGTGATTGTTTGTGGTGCTTGAAACTATATTTTAACTTTTCAAATGTCTAACAACTAGAACACTTTATAATATAAGTTATTTACACCAATTTGTTTTTGTTTTTAGTAAAGCAGAATTCTAGTACTATGAATGTGAATATAAATATTAAATAATTATAATACAAAATAAGAATTAGTACAAAATAGCATTAATAAAAAAAATTTCACTTAACCATAAGGGAGAGTGAGGCACAGCAGAACAAAAATTGTTAAATTTTGATTTACTAAAATTTTTCTGGTTGTAACTTTACACTGAAGTTTAATACAAACAAAACTATCTTTGGTGGGATTAAATTATGTCCAAGAAAGATAAAAACAGTTGTATTTTGTAGGTGACATGCATTATAACAAAGCTGACAAAATTGTTCAGCTGTGCCCCATGGCGGGGCACACTTGAACTTATCATTTTCTACAATTGATTCCCATGACAAAGCATATATATCAGGGTGTTAACCAGGAATAAATTTGATACAGCGTTTCAACAAAATTGGGAACTTGTCAAAGTATTTCTCAACCACCCTCTCCTCCCTTGAGATTAAAATATGTTCTGGAAAAGCCTGAGGTCCATTTTTGGTGTTCTTTTGGCTGCATACGTTGATTGATCAGCGCCAAAATTAAAATAAAATACAATCTGTATCATTAAAAATGAATATGAAATCAACTCAAAATTAGCTGTTGTTTCACTACACGGCAAACTAAAAACTGATTTTGAACATATATTAGGAAAAATATCTTTTTTCATTATAAACTAATCAGTGTATATTAATTATTATTGAGAATATTTATTTTGATTTATTTTTAATCTTTATATATTGTCGCTGCTTTCATTTTAAGAGTATTATTTTAAATATATATTTCTTTTTCAATGTAATATAGTATATATATATATATATATATATATATATATATATATATATATATATATATATATATATATATATATATGTATATATATGTAATATAGTATATATATTTACATATATTTATATATATATATATATATATATATATATATATATATATATATATATATATATATATATACATATATATATATATACATTTATATATACATACATATATATATATATATATATATATATATATATATATATATATATATATATATATATATATATATATATATATATATATTGGTTTTAATTTGGTTTTAGGTCAAAAAAATATTTTCAATAAAATTAAGGTGTTGGTTTAAAGGATGCTAAAGGAAAAGTTAGGTGTTTATGCTTTCCTTGTAACATGGTTTTTAGAAAAGAAGTCAAGATATAACACAATATCAATAAAAAACACAGCTTTGGCTAGTATAAGGTAATTATATTGACTATTATTTTGATGAGCAGCAACATTAGTTCATAGAAATAAATATAAACCATTCTTATTTTATTGGTTTGGGATTTCACCTGCCGCAACTGCAGCAACTGCTACAAGTTATCTTCAAGATTTAATTGAAGCAGGATTTCTCACCCTTGAGTCCTCTTACCATACTTGCGATCCTTCTAAGTTGACAAGAGCGAGAAAAAAGGTCATGGTAGTTGCGAAGAAAATGATAATTTAAAACTTCCAAAAGTAGATAATATTGCCATTTACTTTGACGGAAGGAAATATTCAACAAGAGCAATGATAAATGATTCAAATGGACAGTTACATCCTATTATTATCAAAGAGCAGCACATTACTGTGACTATAGAACCTGGCTGTCGATATCTTGGTCATTTTACCCAAAATGCATCTAGTTATCTAGATAAGCCAGCTAAAAAGAATCATGCCAGATGGTTCACTACTGGCATGAGAATAGTCTTTATGTGGAAACACGACTTGAATGATCAGAATTCGCAAAATCTAGAGTTACCTGTCGTATTTTGTTTACAATTTTACTTTAAACATTTTTTTGACATAAAGGTCAAAGACAGACTTGAAGATGCTTCCTATCAAATTCTGTCTCAATTGAGAAATCTTAGAACACAACCTGATAGAGTAAAAGAAATTGTGACTCCCTATATCCAGTTAGGAGCTTGGTATATGAACCATGAAAGTATACTTATCTCTTTATTATCTAATAATAATGCAGAAGATCGCAATTTTGCAGTAAATCGAATTTTGAAACTAAGGGGTATCCTTGGAGATGCAAATCAGACCAAGAAAAACACCTAAATTTAACTTTGCAGCAACTACTCCTCAAGAGCTAGTTAAATGGGAAAATGGTGTTGTACAAGAACCTGTTTTTACTTGTTCGCTCACCAGAGATAAGTTGTTATTACTAAGATTGATACCTTTAATAACTCCGATTAAAATTCATACTCAAAGTATTGAGCGTGCTGTAAAACAAGTGACAGTAGCATTCATGTCAGTAGTTGGACCAAATGCAAGAGATGGGTATATTAGAGCTAGAGCTCAACATAGAGAGTTGCTACCTGTTTTTAAAACAAAGAAAGAAATTTTATTAAATTTTTAATTTCAATAGATTTTTGTTTTATTTGTTTTTTAATAGAGTTTTAGTAGTTCTATCAAAATATTGTTGGGGTAAGATAGGGGGATAAACTACCTGTTTTTTGGTGAAAGTATAATGAACTGTTATAATCAAATTTTTTAATAATTAAAGCTTCATAAAATATAAAAGACCCCCTCCTCCTCCCTCTAAAAAATGCCGAATCTGCACTGCAGATTGGATCCACTCAAGATAATGATTTTGAAAAGTATCAACAATCTAAAATATTATTATAAATATATATTAAACAATCTAAAATATTATATATATATATATATATAAATATATATATATATAGATATATATATATATATATATATATATATATATATATATATATATATATATATATATATATATATATGTTTTATTTTTATTTTAATTCACCTCCTCAAGGCCGAGAAGGCTACTACAGACAAGGAGGCTACTTATTTTGTGGCTATAACCCTCTCTTAACTCTATAACTCTGAAGCACGAACCTTGACGAACAAGGCCGTTGCGCGGAGAAACAAGTTGATCTTGTATATATATATATATATATATATATATATATATATATATATATATATATATATATATATATATATATATATATATATATATATATATATATATATATATACTAGATCTTTTTGGTCATCATTTCTTTCTATATACCATAACTCAAAATCTATTTATTTTACAGTAATAATTTAATAAGTTAATATTTGGTAAACAATATTAGTCAATAATATCAATTAACATAAAAAAATTAATCTTTTAAATAAACAAAATTTTATTGTATTATGAAATTTTAATTGATAAAGAAATAAATAAAACAAAAACATTTTTAAAATCTAACAATAAAAATTAAAAAAATTAAAATACTTGAATATATCTTTGAGCTGTTGTTTCTGGAGAATCATTTGTAGGACTTTCATGATATGGTATTTCAACTAACCTACTAGATTTATCATCTTTAATGAAACTACTGATAGCTGAGCCATCCCTGAAAATATAAAATCAATTACAGAATAATTTATCAATATTGCCTATTTTAAAGAAAGTAGTATGGGGTGTTCAAACATGATAAATTTTTAAAAACATGTATACATACTAAATAAATTTTAAAAATATGGCTTACTACACATTAGTTTATAAACGATTTATATTACACTCAAAACAACCAAACTTGACTACTTAAATTCTTTCTGTAATATTATATAAAAGCAGTTGGTGAGAAGCAAACTAAAAAAAGGAGTAAAAAAAAAAAAAACTATGAGATGTGATTTCTGCAAATTAATGTTGTGAACTGTATTGTAACTTTTATCAAAAGGTTGTAAATTTAACACTTAATATAAAAATATAGAAAATTGCATCAGAAGCAACTTTTTCAAGAAAATAAACATCTTGACACTCTTTTAACTTTAATTACATCAATTATGTTACTATTTTGAGGGAGAGCTTGAAAATAAAAATAAAAACTTTAAAAACAACAAAAAGAAAACTAGTGATAATTTATAAAAAACTAAGCAATATCTCAGAAAAAAAGTCAAGAATAAGTCATTAGTAAATCCAATAAAACTATGTGCATATAACTTATGCTACATAAGTCTATTTTCATATAAAAATTAGTAAAAAAATTAACTTAATAAAAAAAAATATTGCTTAATTTTTAATTTATCTTTTTTTAATTCATCTTTTTTAATTTATCTTATAAAAATATTTCAAAAACAAACTTTACAAGAGAAAACTTTTTTCTTACATACCATATTCAAAGTTTTTCCAAGCAAAATCTATTATTAAGTAATCATGAAGCAAATTCAAATTTGAACAAAACAATAACTACAATATTGTAAAATATTAATTTATAAAATAAGTTTTTGAAAACTCCAAAGTCTGCTTTTTTTTAAAAGACAGTATATATGACAGCAGCTGATCAGTTAGCACTACCTAAAAAGCAGGCAATGAAAAAAAGGTATTGTCATTTTGTTTTTATAAGCCCAAGACATCATTTTTCATCATAGGTATTAAAGGTTAGGGAAAATAGAATGTTATTAGTTTTTTAAGGGTAGAAAAAACATTTTCTTAAATTGATAATCCCTTCTTATTTTCATATTCCTACCATGCCAAATTTTTAATTATTAGGTCAAACAATTATTGTAAAAAAAGAAAAACTATTCGGCAACTAAATAAAACCAAGCTCACTTTTTTTTATCCAATATTTTATGGAGTTTTTTTATACCTGGTTATCATTATTAGGTTTGAAAAAGAGAAACTACTTTAAAAATCAAAACTATTTCAAAAGTATAAAAATTATTAATTAATTTGCTCAAAAGATTTTATTAGTCTACGGTCTAACATAAATACTTATCATAGTTTCTGTAATAAGTTTAAATGTTATACAGTTAGTTTAGTTTTTAGTTGTTAAATACTTGTGAATATGGCTGAGAATAACTTTCTTATTTTATTTTGGAGGATTTTTTACATTCGGAGAGAATAGTTACTGTAAGTTGTCCATATTAAATCTTGAAAAAAAGAGTGATAAACACTCAAGAAATAAATAATATCTGATGACATGAAAAAAGTTAATGTTTAATAATATGGAATTGGTAAAATGATTTTTAGAGGTGACTACCCAAAATCCACTTTAAGAGGTGACTACCCTAAATTGTTTTAATAACACAAAATAAACAGCAAGTCAAAGGCAAAAAAAGCATTTAAACTTATTCAAAAAGACTGCAATATATAACATTTTGTAATATATGCAATATATAACATTTTAGGTGGGTCTAATTTCTTGATAAATTTAATTTAATCTGTTTATATTTTTATAAAAAAAAAAACTTTTTTTTTTAAGAAAAGTAGCTTTATTCAAGCGGGATATTACCAGGGTTTTTTTCTGCCATTGATATAGATATTAGTCATAAATAATTATGTAGTAACTTCTATCTAAAAATGTTCAACTTAGTTTATATTGTGTTTGTCTGCAAACTTTTTTCGGTGATTTTTTATTCTTATTTAATGACTTTAAACTTCCATGATAAAAATACTAACGTCCATGATAAAAATACTAACACCTATAATAAAAATACTAAGGTCCAAGGTGGATCATATTAGATTTTGATATAACTTGCATTTAAACTCAAATCTAGAAAATTTCAGCATAAAATCATTTTGGGTTTGTGAGTTCAGTTATTAAGTGTAACATTCAGTAAGATGGACTTTTTTTTTGTACCTTGCTCAATATTCTTAAACAAAAGTCAGAATTAAAGACCTCATTTTTTCATCAAACACCAACATTAAATTTTTTAATTTCATTTTTAGACAAATTTTTAAATTTTGCCTAATAAACCAATGAAATCATAAAAAATTTGAAAATTCGATTTTTTTGGGATCAATATACGAAGCTAGCAGTTGTACAAGTAACATGCATATTTTTAAATTTAATATAAGGTAGGCTTACTAAATTTAAAAAATTATGAAGGCATAGAGTCTAACAAATTTTAATTTAATAAACACTTAGGAATAACACAATTTTCATTAAATTAGTTTTTTTCATCTATTGATTTAAAAAACTTTCTTATAATGATATCAGTAGGAAAAAAACAGTTGGACTCATTATTTATTTATTTATATATATATATATATATATATATATATATATATATATATATATATATATATATATATATATATATATATATATATATATATATATATATATATATATATATATATATATATATATATATATATATATATATATATATACATTTTGACATTGGTCAACAACATAACAAAATGTGAATTAAAAACAACATTAGTAAAAAAAAAACGGGCTGAATATGGCTAAAGATGAATCTGAAATATTAGCCGCAATCCCGACACAATTACAACAATTTTGCTTGAGACAATGATAAATTATATTGTATATACTATATCTTTATCTTAAGCAGAATCAGCATAATTGTGGCTGATATTTCTGTATTTTATTTGTATTTTAATATTCCGTGTAAATATGGAAACTAATAATTTCACTTACTCATTGAAAAATATACCTATACTAGATGAAAAAAGTTATACTATTTCTTTGATTGAAAAAGTTGAACATTAAAAGAATTCGTAAGAAACCCCTTTTTTTCTTGAAACAAAATATAAACACAGATGATATATTTAATAATAACCAAGAATATTTATGGAACAATATTTATAAACAAAACAAAAAACCCACTTTTTATACCTGATTTGGAAAATTTTGAAAATGACCTATTGCATTTAATTAAAACAATAAAATTTTGCCCTATAAAAAATAAATTTCAAAGAGAATTAAAGTTAGATTAAAAAAAAAATTAAATCAAACCTAAATGTTTTGGTTTTTGCTGATAAAACAAATAACATTTACCACAACAGAAAACTATGAACAAATTTTATGCAACAATATTACTAGTTCTTATGAGATAGCCTTTAAAAATTTGGAAAACGCAATTAATATAGAAGCCCAAAGTATTTCTAAAAAAATAAACCTTGATAACAGAATCGAATATACTGCCCTGCCCAAGCCTTAGTAACACTAAAAGATCATAAACCAAACTTTCTTGTAGGTTATTGGTTCTCTCAAAAAGTGAGATTGGACATGTAAGCAAAATTAAATTGGACAAAATTAATAATATTCTTAAAAATAAATTAAATTTGCAACAGTAGAAAAATACCAATGACGTTATAAATTGGTTCTCCATAATCAAAAATAAAGATGACTGTACGTTTATTCAATTTGACATTAATGATTTTTACCCTTCAATAACTGCAGATATTTTAAATAAAACAATTGAATTTGCAAAAAGCTACACAGTTATTCCTGAAGAAACAATCCGTATAATGAAACATTGTAGAAAAACCTTACTTTACTTTAATAAGGAAACTTGGAAAAAGAAAAACATACATGACTCCTTTGATCTGACAATGGACAGTTATGACGGAGCAGAAATTTGTGAGCTTGTTAGACTATACATATTAGATTTATTAAGTAAAATAATCAATATAAATGATTTAGGCCTTTATCACGACGATGGTTTAACAGTAATGCATAAAAAATCTGGTCCACAGCTCCATAAGATTCAAAAAGATATAAAAATTTTTAAAAATATTGGCTTTCAAATCATAATAAGCATAAATTTAAAAATTGTGAACTGTCTTGATTCACATTTAACCTCTCTGAAAATTCATATAAGCCTTTCAAAAAACCAAACGATGAATTATTGTATATTGATATTAACTCAAATCATCCACCACAAATTTTAAAACAAATCCATATTTCAATTAATAACAGGTTAAACCAAAACTCATCTAATAAAGTTAAATGTATTTATTTCTCTAAACGAATATTTGAAGGTGCCCTTAAAAAAAGTGGTTTTGAAAAATTTGAACTAAAATTTGACCCTGAAAAAAAGAATTAAAAAAAGCGGAATAGAACTAGAAATGTAATTTGGTTCAACCCCCCCATATAGCAAAAATATTTCCACCAACATAGAAAAAGTGTTTTTAAAAATTGGTTGATAAGCATTTCCCTCCCTCTAATAAATTACATATAATTTTTAATCGAAATACAATTAAAGTTAGCTACAGTTGCACAAAAAATATGGAAAGAATTATAAAAGGTCACAATACTGCTTTGTTAAATAAAAAAGAAATCCTAAATGAAAAAACTACAGAAAATTGTAATTGTAAATAAAAAAACAATTATCCAATGAGTGAAAGTTGTTTATCAAATAATGTGGTATATAAATGTGTTGTTTCCTCTAAGAATGTACCCCATAAACAATTTATTGGCATAACAGAGGGTAAATGGAAAAAAACATTTTGCCAATCATAAGCAATCTTTTAAAAATAAAAAGTATTCAAAAGACACCATGCTGTCAAAATATATATGGGAATTAAAAGATAAAAATATTGATGATTTTATGCTGAATTGGTCCATCCTTAAAACAGCGCTTGCATACAACAATATTTACAAAAAATGCATACTATGTCTACAAGAAAAATTTGAAATAATTACACATGCAAACTAAGAATGTTTGTTAAACAAAAAATCAAAAAAATCGAAATTGATTTCTAAATGCAGGCTCGAAAATAAGTTTCTCCTAAAAAACTATAAAAATAAGTGAGCTCAATAAATAGTTACATTTAACCCCCCCCCCCCTTTTTTTTAAATATTTTTATAAAAAAAATCATAAATAATCATTTCTAAAGAATTCTTTTTACAATATTGTAGCAAATTTCACAAATGTGTGAAAGTTTACAGTAGTTAAAACATTTGTGACTTCCTGTAATTTAATTTTTGGTATAAATTAAAGTTTTATTAATTTGATCATTCATTTCTGATGAGTCTTTGATGAAATACAGTGTAAAATAAAAAAATATTTTTGTTAAGTGATTTTCTACTAATTTATAATTGCTCTGTTCTTTTAAGAACATTGAGCTTTCTATTTTGTAGAACACATTTTTAAAATTGTTTAAATTATTCAATTAGATTTGTCTGCATTCAACACATTCCAGAAAAGAAAAGATTTTCTTAAAAAAAAAATGAAACTACTTTAGATTTCTTTAAATGAAATTTTTTTAAATTTCTAAAAATGAATAAAAGTAATTTTATAAAAATTAAAGTTAAAAAAATAAATAAAAATAACTTAATATAAATTACTAAAATCTTTTAAAGAATTAAACTTTAAGAAGAAGTATATAAACAGGAGGTGTGGCACAGACCTACCAAAACCCATAATTATTATGGGTTCAGACAGTAAGTAATATATGTAATATATATGTTATGCTAATAATACAAAAACATTCATACAAACACTCAATAATTAAAAACAACATTAAAGATTTAACAACCTGTGTTCAACTGCAACAACTAGATATCCTTCAGATGCAAGTTGGGCACAAAATTCAGTATAACAATTGCGATGTCCCATCAAACCGTGACTAAAGATAATAACTGGCAAAGAATGATTGTTAAAAACAGGTCTCAATTCCTGGTGTCTAACTAATTGCTCGTTTACAAATATTGGTAAACTAAATGACTCTAAAAACAAAAATAAATTTAAGTTCGTCTTTTTACTATTAACAACATCCAAATATATATCATAAATTTTAGTAAAAAAAAATATTATTATGGCTTGTCATTCTAACTGGTTAGAACCAGGGGTGTGGAGTCATAAAAAAAAAGTAACGACTCCAATTCCGACTCCAGTTGTTGAAATTTTTTGAGTACAACTCCGACTCCAACTTCGACTCTAACTCCAAAGCAAAATTTTTGAAAAATTCTTTGAATTCTTTAAAAAATATTGCCCGGTAAGTTGAAATTTTTTTTTGACAAATTTATGAAACATTCTATGATGTTTAGTATGAACATAAGGTTAATTGAATGTTTTGTACATGCACGTGCAATACCAAGGAATTTTACTATCGGAGTCAGAGTCACGATACTTTTTAGCGACTCCCACTCTGACTCCGGTAAAATTGTCGCGACTCCGCGACTCCAACTCCACAGCCCTGGTTAGAACACCCCAAAATACTTTTTCTAATTGACTAAACTAGTAATGCTATTGATATTTGTAGTTAATTTGTTTAACTACTGGCATTAATATGCCTTTGCTGTTGAATTACCATCATAAAAAAATTTTTAAATAAGAAATATTTCATTACTATTATAACATTTATACTTTTTTGTTTTCGCCATTTTTATTATCCTTCTTTACTGTTATTTTCTTCTTTGTTAACTTCTGATATATTATTTTTAAAACTATGAAATTTAGGTGTGAATAATGCTTTAACTCTTAGATTGTGGTCAACAACAATCATTATGACTGGTTACAGCACCCCAAAATAACTCAAATTACATTAAGTCAAATTAACTGGAATAGTATTAGTATTTGTAGTTAAAGTGTTTTATAACTGGCATTCAATCATCATCATCACCTTTTATGTTTTTTTTAAGTTATAGAATAATTTAAAAATATATATGTAATAGTTTGTTAACACAAATTGTAAATAACATAAATAAAACTTTTTACTACTCAAGAAACTATAAAATATCTTTTATTTAGTTTGATTTTTTTTGAAATGAACAAAAAATTGCTCAAGATTTTTTTTCATAAAATTATGAACAAAACTATGTAATGTTTAACTTTAAACCATAACTTTATAAAGTTTAACTTTAAACCATAACTTAATATGTATTTGTAATAGAAGAATTGTAAAAAAAAAAAAGAAAAGAAACATTATTAAAACTTACTCCAAAAACTCAATAATTTTTTAGTGAAGTACCCAAAACGAAGTTCACGCACATATCCTTCAAAGTATTGATCTTGATTTGGTTCAGGAAGCCATGTTGCTTTTTTGGAACTTTGAGATGAAGGTTCAGATGGATAAAAAAGTCGCAAAAGACTACCAAGATCAGAGCAAGATAAAACATCAGGATGAAAATTTTCAACAATTTTTGCAGACTTGAGCATCAAATCAAGACAACCAACATGGTGTGGACCACTATATTTTATTACCATGTTTACTAAAATGATAAAACTCATTGTCATAATTTTCCTTTAATTTTGGGAGTAATGTTCTAAGCACAACACATTGAACCAACCTAGGGGCAATGTTGTTTTTATGTCAGCTTAATGCAATGTGCTGCTCAGGATTAGATTTAAAAACATCTTATTACCTTAACTTTATATTTTAATGAATAATTTAGTGCATTAAATTTTTGCAACTGATAGACTTATATAGACTTTTGCCTCTTTTTTTTTCAAAACTATATGAAATAACCATACATTTTAGGTATTGTAGATAAATATTAGTGATCACTTTAAAACCCTAATTTGACTTAAATATTAGCAAAATATAAAATTTTATTGTATTGCATTTTTTCAAAATATATATTCATTAGAGTATACTAATTCATTAAAAAAAAAAAAAACATTACTAGGTTCAAAATAAATAACAAATGAAAAAAATATTCAGTTTATAAAAACTAATAACAATAATAGAAAAATTTATGAAAGAAATGATAGTAATAATAACGGTATTAATGATAAAAATAAACAATATTAATAATAACAAAAATAGTAATAACAAAAAACAAAAATAGTAATAACAGTATTAATGATAAAAATAAACAATAATAATAATAACAAAAATAGTAATGATAATAATAACAATAATAACAATAATAATAGCAATAATAACAATAATAATAATAATAATAATAACAATAATAATAGTAATAATTAGACTCTGTTTTAATTATTATTGTTTTTATTATCATTATTATTATTCTACCTATTTTTTTATTATTAATGTTTATTTTTATCATTATTAATGTCATTATTATTACAATTAAATTCATTACTTTTTTTGTAAATATTAGTTTTTATAAACTGATTATTTGATTTATTAACTTAATTAGTATTTATAAACATTTATAAATTTTAATATTAACTTTATTAAAGTTAATAATAAAAATGGTAATAATATATCACAGAAAAAATTATTTAAACTAGCACTGCTAAATAATGGTTTTTTAAAAAGTAGACAATGTGCATTGTTATATATACGAGCGACTATTTCCTGAGCACTGATCTCAAAATATAACTGGATAGCGTATACGGCAAATTTTTTGAAGCCAGTTTTGGCCTCCAAAACTGGCTTCAAAAAATTGAGAAAATTTGGTTACGAACTTTTATATCTTGTTTAAATGAAAAAAAATGTACAAACCTCAAATTCAAATAAAATTTTCGGTTTTACATAGCAAATATTTTGAAAAGAAACGCAATATTACATATTTACGTAAACTTCTAAAGTTTAATATTTTGTTTAACAAAATATACTCTTAATAATTAGTTTGTAAAATATCTTTTTTTATATAAAAACTAATTAATTAAATATGGAAAAATAAATAAGATAAAAAATTTTTAGTTAAATAATTACAAATTAGTTTATTTAACATAAGTAAAGAGCGCACTAGAAACTAGTATTATACCTAAAACCTAATAGTTAACTATTAGGTTCCATTAATATATATAACTAGTTATAACCTAATCGTAGTAAAACAAAATAAAAACCTAGTAGTTATTTAATTCAAAAGTTTCCAAACAACTTTAAATGTGAAAAGTCAAAATAATTTTATTCAATTTTTATTTATATTTCATTTATTTACTTACTTTTAATTTTAGTTTTACCATAAATTAATTGTTTAATATTGTTTTTTATACAACTTATGTACCTTTTAGTTCTTAACTACCCAATGCTGTGTGCTAGAAGGTTAATAACACAACTGCAAGGTAGGCAGCTGAATATCTTTTTAAAATAAACTATTATAAATTAGTTTTTCAAATAGATATCACAAATTTACAAATGCTGCATGAACTATTAGCTGATCTCTGTGAGTACACACAACTCAGAGGTTCCTTCTAGAACTTTTTATATATATATAATTATTTGTACCTGGTTTTTTATTTGGTTGTACTTTACTAAAATCACTAAACATATATATATATATATATATATATATATATATATATATATATATATATATATATATATATATATATATATATATATATATATATATATATATATATATATATATATATATATATATATATATATATATATATATATATATATATATATATATATATATATATATATGTTGTCAGGTCAGGTTTATCCTGCTACTGGTAACATGTAACCCAGTACAATCTGCTTCATGTCCTGTTGCCTTGTAGGATATGCCTTTTTAGGCAAAAGCTAGGAGATGCAAACTCCGACATAAAACACCCCCTGCCTTGGGGCTCTTGGTTGAGTAAAGGCTAGTGATGGTGTCTCGATAAAAATACTCATCTTGGGCAGATGTTACATGCATCCGGCTGCTGTCTTGTAGAAGGCCTCCTAGGCAAAGACTTAAGGGGTAAACAGATTCTATCTGTTGACCAGCCTCGCACCCCTTCGTCATCTATTAGGCTGGCGCAGATGTATTTTTAATACCTTGTTTCCAGTAAAGGATGTTGAACGCTGGATCTTCTTGACTCGATTCATGGGTTTTGCTTGTGTCTCTGTTTTTATGACTAGGCAATTCATTCTATTATCTCCAAATGAGAATACAGCTCTAAAACTCAGTTTTATGGTTCTGAGGCCGGCTGGTAGTCAGGTTTCCCGAACTCTGACGTAGCTCTCAGAGAAGCTGATTCCATCAACAGCTGAAAAATATCAGAGTACTAACAGTGCCATGTTGCACATGGATGGTGTCCCTGTTTGTACTTTTGGTGTGCATTGCCAAGGCCAGATTGGAGCCCTTTGTTACGGCTTAGGGTTTATTAGTGGATATGAGGCAATTGCTTGAGCTATAGAACAGTGTGCTGAGTACTATCAATGTTTCGAGTCAAGTTCTTTAACAAATTTAAAAATGAATAAAGTAACAAAAACTGAATAAAGTAACACAAAAATCCACAGTCATCACCAAGTTCGCTAAACCTATCATTCACCAATATTCGTGGTCTTCGAAGTAACTTTTCTTCTGTTGAGTCTTATCTCTTGCAAAGTTCACCAGACCTGCTTGCTCTTTGTGAGACTAATTTGAGTTTAGCTGTCTCATCTTGTGATCTTAGTGTTGATGGTTATCTTCCTTTAATTCGTAAAGACTCCTATAGTCACATGCCTGGCATTTACATTTGTAAAAATTCACCCATTTGTCGGGTAACTAGGTTTGAATCCACAGATTACTCTTTTATGTGCTTTCGTTTAGCACCACTTCAGTGCTCAGTTTCTTCACACTCACCCTAAGGTGCGTCTGATCATAGTTTGGTCTCTCTAAAACTATTATCTCATTCTTCTTCACCATTAGAATCCCCCTATCATCGTACATCTTACAACTATCTTAAAGCTGACTGAGACTCTTTTCGTGACTTTCTTCGTGATGGCCCCTGGGTAGAAATCTTTTGTCTCCCTGTTGACAAATGTGCTTCTTACATAACTTCGTGGATTCAGACTGGCATGGAATCTTTTATTTCCTCTCGACGATTCCAGGTCAAGCCTCACTCTTCTCCATGGTTTTCCTCACATTGTGCTGCTGCAATTGCCAACCGAAACCATTACTTCCATATCTATCAGCAAAACAATTCTCCAGAAAACAGACGTCTCTTTATTACTGCTAGGAACCATTGTAAAAGGGTTTTGTCTAACGCCAAAACGCGCTATTCTCAGATCATGAAATCTCGTATTTCATCACAAAAACTAGCCTCTCGTGACTTCTGGAGAATCTTTAATAGTATCAATAATAAGGGCAAGTCTGTAATTCCACCTCTTTTGTATGGTTCAGACTTTGTCACCTCACCTAAAGACAAAGCTGAATTGTTTGCCAAGAACTTTCATCAATATCATCTCTTGATATTGTCCAATATCGTCCTACCTGATATAGCCGTCAAACAGGTTGATCCATTTCTCGACATTCGTATTACTCCAGCTTCTGTATCTAAAGTGATTTCCCACTTAGACTCTTCTACAGCTTGCGGCCCGGACAACATACCTGTTATAGTCTTGCAGAAGTGTTCTACTGAGCTGTCGTCTATCTTTTCAAAACTATTCAACAAGTGCTTATCAGAGTCTTGTTTTCCAGCCTGCTGGAAAGCAGCATCTGTTATGCCTACTTTTAAAAATTCTGGAGAGCGATCTGAATCTTCTAACTACCGTCCCATTAGTCTTTTTCCTATCATAAGCAAGGTTTTTGAATCTTTAATTAACAAACACTTAATCTCTCATCTCGAATCTCATAACCTACTTTTTGATCATCAGTATGGATTTCAATCTTCTCGTTCTACGGCTGATTTGCTATCAGTAATAACCGATAGGTTTTATCGCGCATTAGATAAAGGTGGAGAGGTTAAAGCCATTGCTTTTGACATTTCTAAAGCGTTTGATAAAGTTTGGCATGCTGGTCTTATCCATAAGCTTTCTTCTTATGGTGTATCGGGAAACATCTTTAAGATTATTGAATCCTTCCTTTCCAATCTTAGTATAAAAGTTGTCCTTGATGGACAACACTCTTCTTCTTATTCTGAAACCTCAGGGGTTCCCCAAGGTTTAATCCTTGGCCCTATACTCTTTTTAATTTACATTAACGATCTTCCAGATATTCTCACATCTAAGGTGGCATTGTTCGCTGATGATACTACCATTTATTCTTGTCACGATAAGAAGCCAACTCCCTCTGATTGCTTGCAGGGGGCATCTGAGCTCGAAAAGGATCTCACTTCTGCTACAGCATGGGGCTCGCAGTGGCTAGTGAACTTTAATTCAGATAAAACTCAATTTTATCTGAATTAAAGTTCACTTATATTTTCGGCCAATTGTTATCGCAATAATTTAGACCTTCCTATATTTATGAACGGTAATGTACTCGATGAGTCTCCTACCCTTCATCTTCTAGGATTAACTCTTACTTCTGATCTTTCTTGGAAACCTTATATCAAACCCGTTGCAAAATTAGCATCTGCTAAAGTTGCTTCTCTTTATTGAGCTCGTCACTTTCTTA